ACCTGGCCTTCACTGAGCCCTCAACCATGTTGGAAGACCTATAGACATGCAGTACATGGCCCAAGGTAGACTATATGATGAGGAGGCCACTAAGTTGACGGGCTGGGATAGGTCAGGCTTCTGAAAGGGGGATAGCCAAATTAAGATTAAGGGGGAAAGAGTGGTGGCTGAGAATTCCAAGTAGAGAGCAATGGTGAATGCACTGGGGAGCTGAGGCAAGGTGAGTGCCCTGAGCACGGTAACTGAGGAGAATGGCGATAAGGATCAACAGGCAAGTGTGTTGAGCACAGTTGGTGCATACCTGTATTTCCAGCACTTGGGAGTCTGAGACAGTAAAATCACAGATTCGAGAACAAAACCCTGTCCCAAAACAAGAAGACAGACCAAGACAAATCATGAGAGGTCTTCAACACCATGCTAAAGCAGCTGAACTTTACTATAGACCTTGGGGACCTTATTAACACCATGATACTTTAAAGTGTGAGGCTAGGGGAATAAGTAACATTATATAGGAAAATAATTTCTATGGCAGGGAAGGGTAAATAGAAAGGGGACTGATTTGACACTTAATAGCCATTTACAAAGGTTTAGAAGAAATTGGACACCCACCACCACCACCCTTCTGAAGCCACACCTGCTCCTTCCTGGACCCTGCAAGCCCCCCCACCCCAGGCCCCACCTCTCATGGGAGCTGCACTGGCCCTGCCTTTGTTTTTGTTAACACCAGTATCAGTGAGGTTTACAAAAGTGACAGTCATCAAAACAAAACTTCCAAGCCCTGCTTCATGTTGTATCATCAAATGCTTATCCCTAAATTGACATAACTTAGAACACAGTCACACATAATTTAACACTGCAAAATATTTGCTTCTGCACAGATGTGTTTTGGGTTTTGTTTTTTCAAAAATATTCTGCCAGGCCAGGCTTGGTAGTGCACACCTGTAGTCCCAGCACTTGAGAGGCAGAGGTGAGTTCCAGGCCATCCTGGTCTACATAGTTCCAGGCCAGCTGGGGCTACAGGGAGACCCTATCTCAAAAAGACCAAAAGAAAAAAAAAAATTCTGCCCTCTCAAAAAAAATTGTGTGTGTGTGTGCATGTGCACGCACATGTGGCTGCATGCATGCCACAGAGTGCATGTGAAGGTTGGAGGACAGCTTTCTTCAGTTGGCAAGTACCTCCACCTAATGAGCCATCTCACTGGCCCTGACATCTCTTTAAAACTCATTTTTATTCTCAAGTGGGGCTCCTGGGTGTCCCTCATACCATGATTGTCCCCCTGGCACACTGTTAAAGAGCTTGATCATGGGAGGTGGAGAGTCGGCTCAGTGGTTAAGAGCATGACTGTGTCGGCAGAGGACCCAGATTAGATTCTCAGCACCTGTATAGCAGCTAACAACAGTCCTGAACTCCAGTTTCAGTGGGTTTAACGCCCTCTTCTGGCATTGCATGACAGGGATGCACTTACATACATGCAAGGAAAATACCCATAACACATAATTAAAATGGCCTTTGTGGTGGCGCATATTTTTAATCCCGGCACTCAGAAGGCAGAGGCAGGCAGATCTCAGTGAGTTCCAGGCCAGCTGGGGCTACAGGGAGACCCTGTCTTAAAAAGACCCCACCACAAAAGAAAGGAACTTGCTGCTCCCAAGTTAAATTTCCAGCATCTGAATTGGGCCGTTCACAACTACCTGTAACTCCAGCTCCAAGGAGACCAACTCCGCTTCTGACCCACACACATGTAGCATACTTGCAGCAGAGAAGGGCATCTACTTTTAGGGTGTGTGTGTGTGGGGGGTCTCACTAAGTAGCTCAGGCTGGTCTCCCAACTGGAGATCCTAGGCTATTACAGCTCTAAGACCCTTAGACCTGCTGGCTTCAACGTTTTTACCAGTTGACCCCGCCCCATCCCCAGCTGCCCCGGCGCACCTTCCCTTCCCTTGTACTTGGCCTGCCCAGGCTCCGCCCCCGCTCTCCATTGCTCTGCGGGGGATTCTAGCGTCCCCGGTGGCTGCCCTCAGTTTTCTCAATCCCACCCCCCTTCCCCCAGCGTCCAGAGAAAGTGTCAGTGGGTGGCCAGGGTTTTGGCGCTTACATTCCTGAAGCCGCCTCAGGTTCAGTTCCTACTGGTATTATCTCATGGGCTGGGTGCAGAATTCCAGGTTGAAAGCAATTCTATCAAAAGCTTGAAGTTGGTGCTCCATCCTCTAGATCTGCCGTGAAGTCCAGTACTGTGCTCATACCCAGATCTTTCTATATGCTTTTCTTTCTTTCGAGAATCATTTGGGATCTTTATTGTGTCCCTTGTGTTCTGAAAAGATGTATGTTAGTACCTGGACCTTTTGTCATCCTTTGTGCTGAGCACATCCAGTGAGCCTTTTCTCAGTGTGAAACTCATGTTTTTTCAGCTCTAGAAATTTGCTTATATGTCTGTTTTCCTACTTTCTATTATTAATCTTTTCTAGTCTCTTGAAGGTTTCCCTGTTATTTTATGACCCTTTGAATGTGTTTCATCTATTGTTTTTTTATTTTTATTTTATTTTATTTTATTTTATTTTTTGTCTTTTTTTGAGATGGGATCTCCCTGTAGCCCCAGCTGACCTGGAACTCACTATGTAGACCAGGCTGGCCTTGAACTCACAGAGATCCACCTGCCTCTGCCTTCCGAGTACTGTGATTAAAGGCATGTACCTTTATTTTGAAATTTAATCTTATTTTTCTTTTTTTGTTTGGTTGTAGGTTTTAGGGTCTCATTTTGGGGTTTTTTGTTTGTTTGTTTGGGATTTGTAGTTGTTGCTATTTTTATAAGACAGTCTCACTATGTAATCCGTATTGGTTTTAAAGTCACAATGCTCCTGTCTCAGCTTCCTGAGTGCTCCATTGCAGGCTTTGGAGTGTTTTATTGGGTTGGGTGGATGGTAATGGTGGTGGTTGGTTGTTGTGCTAGGAATCTAACTTAGAGCTGTGAGCTTTCTACCATGAATTCTATTACCAGCACTATATTTTGTATTGCTGAGATGGAGCCCACTATCTTCTTACAGCCTACAGTGGCCTGGAACTGCTAGGCTCAAGTGATCCTCTGTCTCAGCCTCCTACAGGTGTCTAACCTTATGTTCTTTATAGCATCCCATTTTAAGGTATGCATCTCTTATCTCTGAAGCTATTAGACTTTAGCAGTTTTTTTTCTTCCCCTCCCTGTCTCTCCTGCCCTCATGCCCTTGTCCCTTAGGAGTGGCACACTGAAGTGTTGCCTTGCAGGTTATGAAGGCGCAGAGCTAGGTGACCTGTGGGCTTTTGAGTGAGTTAGTATTGGAGCAGGCCAATCTACTCACCAGATGCCACTCACTACAGGTATTTTCTTTGGGCTGAATCTCAGATGTCCTGTGGCAATATGTCTAGGCATTAGGATTGCAGGCACCTGGCTACTCAATCAATCAGTTAAATACAAATGTTCCACTAATTCCTGTTCGTAGTCTGTTGTTCTGGAGAAGCCAGGCCCCCACACCCTGAGCCCTCTTTGGTCCAGTTACAACTTCCACTTCACCGATAAGTCAGAACCATTTATTTTGCTCTTTATCTTCTAAAATTGTGTGGACAACCCTCTTGTATGGCTTTTCCCTGTTCATTGTAACTCTAGTTTCAGAAGGACGACAAGGGTGATGAGATGTGTCAGCCTAATTTAGCTAGAAATGGACTGCCCTTTTCTGAGGGTGTGCGCTGCTCCCTTCATGTTTGAGTAACAGTTTCTACTCTAGGTAACAGTACTGTTGGGAATAGCTTGGGTGTCTTTTGTTTGTTTTGTTATTGCTTTTTAGTTAACACCAAAATGTGGTGGTGGTGTTTTAATTATATTGATCTGTGAAATCTTAAAATTAGGCAGCCAATGAGCTAGCTTTTGTTTCCATTAACTTAACTCTGAAGGGACAGACATAGATGAAGTTGTGGCCAGACAACAGGGTGGAAGACAGAAGTTTGGGGTTTTGGTGTGGTTTGTTTGAGTTTTTGTTCTGTTTTGTTTTGTTTTTCTTTTCAAGCTGAGAGAAACTTGACCATGAACAGAAGGGGTTGAAAGAAATAGAGCAGTGGCTTGTGCTGGAAGTAGGGATGGCTGACACGGTTCCCAGGACTCATGTTCTATGGACTGTGCTTTCTAAAGATGGAGGCAGGCATGTTGTGGAGGCCTTCTCTGAGGTTTGCTTCCTCAATGTCCCCAGACTTCTCTCTCCTGAGAATCTGTCTTAAAGAATTAAAATGGGGGGCTAGAGAGATGGCTCAGCAGTTAAGAGCACTGACTGCTCTTGCAGAGGACCTGGGTTCGATTCGCAGCACCCACATGGTGGCAAACAACCATCTGTGACTCCAGTTCCAAGGAATCAGTAGCCTTCTTCTGACCTCTGTGGGCATTGCATGACACAACACAGGTGCACTTACACACATGCAGGCAATACGCTCATACACATAAAATAAAAATAAATTTTTTTTTAAAAAAAAGGGGCTGGAAAGATGGCTCAGTGGTTAAGAGCACTAACTGCTCTTGCAGAGGATCCGGGTTTGATTCCCAGCACCCACATGGCGGCTACAAACCTTCCTTAACTCCAGTTCTAGGGGAATCCAAAGTCCTCTTCTGACATCCATGGATTTACATGACACGGGTGCACTCACATACATGCAGGCAATAACACAATACACATAAAATAAAAATAATAAAATATTAAAAAATCATAAAATATTTTTTAAAAAAAAGAATTAAAAATGGAGAAAGGAGACTTAAGGCCAGGTGTCATGGCACACACCTATAATCCCAGCACTTGGGAGGCTGAGGCAGTAGGATCAAGAGTTGAAGGAACTGAAACTTATTTGTGCCTGGAAAGAAGGTAAGTCATTACCAGGGCTGGGAGACAGTGACACCCTGAAGGATAGAGCCAGTTGTCCCCAGCCAGCCTGCATCTGGGATCCTGAGCATAAGCCCCACCAACAGTCTTTACCTTTGTCTCTCTAGGCCTGGTCCAGATCCCTGTGAGCATGTACCAGACTGTGGTAACCAGCCTTGCCCAGGGCAACGGGCCAGTGCAGGTGGCCATGGCCCCAGTGACCACCAGGATATCGGACAGCACAGTCACCATGGATGGCCAGGCTGTGGAGGTGGTGACATTGGAACAGTGACACGAAGCCCTGTCATGGCATCATTTTCTAGTCTACTTCAAAATTTTTTACACGTTTGCAGAGGTGCAATCAAGTGAATTAAGTCTCTCGACTTTGGAAGAAAAGTTTTGTTAACCTTTTTTTTTTAAAAGGAGGAAAGGCGGCAGATTTTGGAATCTCATTTTTTTAAAGCACCACTCTTGATTTTCTGGGATTGGTGGAGTAAGAAACTGCACTGTCAATTTCACTGTCCCTAAAAAGCCAAATTGTGGCAGGACTTCTTTCTGAGGAAATGTGTGTATACTTATGTGTGTGTATGTGTGAGTGTGAATATATGTATATGTGTACATATGGACATGCACATTTACATATATATATAAAGTATATATATACATACATATACATGTATGAAACCCGCATGGAATTATCTGTATGAAATCAAGGTGAGCTGTGGAAACTAACCCACCCAGTTTAGTGGGTGGTAGGGTACATGGCCAGACACAGTCACCTGGTTTTCACTTGTACCAGGGTCATGCGTTGAGCTACTGACAAACTCAGGCAGAGGTGACCATGTCCTTCACCAAAGCTGCCTCCCAGTGGCTGCCTAGAACTCTTTCTGCTAGACTCACCTGAGGAAAGGAGGTTCCAGGACACAGTGTGGCCCAGAAAGTGCTTACAAAGTCCAGTCACCCTGTGATCTGTCAGCAGAGACACTCTTTAGGCTGGCCCAGGTGCTGACCTTGCCACAGGCAGGTGAACGTCCTGCAGGCTCCCAAGGAGGGACAAGAGGTCTGTCCTCAGCCTCCCATCTCCTCCCCTTCCCAGAAATCTTCAATCTTCTGACTATTAAAGAGTTGCTTTGGCTGGGTGTGGAGGTGCACACCTATAGTCCCAGCACTTGGGAGGCAGAGGCCGGCCAGCCTGGTCTACAGAGAGACTCTGCCTCAAAAACACCAAAAAAAAAAAAAAAAAATTGCTTTGGTGTAAGGTCAATCCTGAATTGGTCATATATGAATTGAACAGAAGTATTAAGGGTCTGAGGAGTGCCTGTGAGGCGTGTGTGTGTGTGTGTGTGTGTGTGTGTGTGTGTGTGTGTGGTGGGGAAAAGAATGGGAAGAGGTGGGGAGAGCAGGAAGGGAAGGGGGAGAGGAAACCTTCATAAACCAGGGTATACCAGTGGGAACCATGTTCTCTGGCTGTCTGAGCTGGCTGTCTAGCTGTATCTTAACAGAGGAGACTGCCATATAAAGGGCCTCTGGCTAGGATGACTGACCATCACAACAGATGCATCAGAAGGGAAGGGGCCATGGTCCTGGATTCGGCCCTGCTCCAGGAGGACTCTGCAAGACTCGTTTTCCCAAGCACATTGGTGGTCAAGGCCAAGAACAGCTTTCCTGCTCACAGTGTGGATTGGACTGGGCATTCTTAGTCACTGTGAACTGCTGTGCTTTCCCGCCTACAAGCCCTGAGTCTCCAGTGGCTAAATTCATCGGACTTTCGACAGGTCAAATCTCTGCTCCTTGCATACAGGGACAACTCTCCCTCCCTCCTCCCAGGGCCCCTCACATGTGTGATAGTGTATTTAATGTGTTTTGGTTTTTTTAATGAGACATTAAAAGATTCTTCATGTCTTGCTCAGCCTTTGAGAAAAGCTTCAGGTTCTTGTATTTGCTTGTTTTATATAAAACTATCCAATGTTCTTTGTATGTTCTTTTCTGTACGTAATGGGGGGAGGGCAGGGAAATTTACATAAACAGCCCTAGTTCTACAATTTGTTATTTTTTTAATTATTACTTTTTAACATCATTGTGAAGCTGTCCAGGGGCTTTGAAGTCCATGTTCCTTTGTGGTGAAATAGCCTCCCAGTAGTTTGAGAATTTGCCAAGAAGAAAAAAGCAAAACCCCAGTAGCAGAGCATGGATACTGTGTTGTTCCCGTTCTGTCCATACTGCCTCATTCAATAAATAGTTCAAAGTGCGGCAACAGGAAGTGTTCATCTCTGTAGGAGCCCTTGGTCTCTTGAGCAAAAGGACTCTTTGGGGGTGGCTCGTGCTTTTCAAAAGATACACTAGCTGAGCATAATTCCAGCACTCCGGAGGCAGAGGCAGGCAGATCTCTGTGAGACGGAGGCCAGCCTCATCGATGTAATAAGTTCCAGGCCAGCCAGGGCTACACAGTGAGACCCTGTCTCAAAAAAAAAATCCCAGTGTGGTGGTTTAATCCCAGCACTTATGAGCCAGAAGATCTCTCTGAGATCCAGACCAGCCTGGGCCACATAGTGACTTCCAGGTGGGCTGATACTATAGAGACCCTGTCAAAAGAAAAACAAAACCCTACTTGCCTTTAATCCCAGTACTCGGGAGGCAGAGGCAGGTAGATTTCTGTGAGTACAAGGCCAGCCTGGTCTGTATAGCGAGTTCCAGGCCAGCTGGAGCTATAGGGAGACCCTGTCTCAAAAAGACCAACCACCACCCCCCAAAAAACTATTTGTTTTAGAGGTCAGTGGCTTTGTACCATACTGAACCCCATGGGCTGCAGAGCTCTGGGAAGAACTGGGTCAGGCTCCTGAGTCCTGGATAAGCATGCATCACCATGCCTGGCTTCCAGGTTGTTTTTGTATAGTGATATTCTGGAAGAAAAGTCCAGCTTGGGAAATCCTAAAAATGGTTTGAAAGACTACTCTGGGAATGTGTTCAGGAGTTTACACTCAACTAAAACTCCAGGTGGAGCCTCTACATATTGGAAGTGTCTCCCACCGTGGATATGTTTATTTCTAGAATGTCCTCAAAACAGAAGCTTCAAGTCACCAGTTTTCTGATTTTTTTTAAATTTATTATTTTTTTATGTGTATTTTGTGTGTATTGCCTGCATGTATGTTTAAGTGCACCCATATTGTACAATGCCCCTGAGGTCAGAAGAGGGCATTGGATCCCCTGGAACTGGAGTTAGGGATGGTTGTTAGCTGCCATGTGGATGTTAGGAATTGAACTCAGATCCTCTGCAAAAGCAGCCAGTGCTCCTAACCTCTGAGCCATCTCCCCAACCCCTGATGGTCTTGATTCATGGTTTCTCACACACCTCACTCACTGTCCTAATGTGGCAACTGCCACCTTCCAGCTGTCTCCTGCCACACCCTGGCTCAGGTCATTCTGAAGAGCCTTACACCTTGCTTGTACACACTGTGCTTTAGTGCCCCTCAGATGCCCTGTCTTCTTTTTGTTGGTGGATGGCTTGGTAAGTTTCCTGGTGAGCACTAATAGAACAACTGAATGAAGAAGCCAAGAAGCGTTTTACTTTGATGCTTGAGCTGGGTCCAGTAAAGTGCCTGCCTCTTTCCCTTCTCACACTCGTGGCACCCCACCACCTGTTTTCACCAGAGAGGGTAGGCCAGAGGAAGAGTGATTGCAGCCACCCAAAGCACAGGTTATCTGAAGACCCTCCTGATCTGAACCAGCCCCTGCTGTTTACCTGCCAGACCCAGACACTACCTTCCCGCCAAGCTTGTGTTGACAGCTCTCGTCAGCATGGCTGATGGGCACCAACTCTTCCATTACCTCCTAAGCCACCGATAGGAGTTACTAGTTCAGTTGCGCTCAGGAGCTAGGTAAGTCCAGTCAGTGAGTGAAACCGAAACAGGTGGGGAGGAGTAGGAGCCAGGCAGAGTGGCAAACAGCTATTGAAAGTGTTTGTAGAAAGTCACCTCGAAGGCAGATGGGCCTTGCTGCTCCAGCTTCAAAATTTCCCAGAGAATCCAATTTTTTATATGAAATCTGATTTCATTAGCAAGACAAAAATGTGTTCTGCAGGCAAAACAAAACCAGTCTGTAGATCACATATGTCCTGGATGCCTGTTTGATTTAATGTTATGACTACCTAGCCTGTCCCAGGAGAATGAAGATTGCACTTAGGCTAGAGAGATGGATCAGCAGTTAAAAGCACTGTGTGTCTTCCATAGTACCCAGGTTCGGTGCCCAGCACCCCCACATGGTGGCTTATAACCACCTGCATATGTGTGCTGCACATATATACATTCAGGTATACACATACACATAAAATAAAATTTTAGAAAAAGATTGATATTCAGACTGTCAAGACAGTTTGGCAGGCTTGCACTTGCTGCCAAGCCTGACAACCTGAGTTTGGTCCCCAGAACTTACATCGTGGAAGGAGAAAACTGACTCCCAAGGGTTGTCACACATATGTGCCATGGCATTTGAGTGTATACATATGCACACACATATGCAAATGAATAAAAACTTAACAGAGAAGCAAGAAGAGGGCTGGAGATGGAGCTCAGTGGTAGAGTAGCATAGCAGAAGAGGCTGTCATCTGTCATTTCCTTAAGCCTTCTTTCTGTGTTAAGAAGATCAGCACTGGGCTGCCAACAGATTTCTTGCATCTGAAGATAACCCCTGGTAGTGATGGTGACTACTGGAGTCCTCCAAACTCCAATGACCAAGCTGAGGAGAACCAAGAAGGGCAAAGGAGGGGCCCCTTGCTGGAGGAACAGCTCAGGCAGCTGTGCACTCTGGGACAAACTCAGACCTGTGGTGGGTCAGCACCAAAATCATCAGGGAGAAAATAAACTTAATTATGGAGTAGAGCCCACCTTCCCTGATCCAGTCCCATCTCAGCCCTGGGTAGGCTGTGGGCCACCTAGGTCACCAGCCCAGGCCTTAACTGGTACTCAGATTGAGGTCGCTTAGTGTGTCCCCACCTGGCCTCTGCTGACCGCAGGAGGGCAACTCTTGGAGAAAACCTGAGATGGAGGAACAGGATCAGAGGCAGCAAGGAGGGATGGAGGGGTCAGGACTTTGGGCTGGGGTTGTACAGAAGCAGCTGCCAAGCAGAAAGCAGAGGTTTGCTCCACCTGCCCTCCAATCTCTGGGCTGCAGCAGCCTTATGGGAGTTCTCAGCCTCTCTGCTTCCCCCCAAGTCAAACCACTACCTCCTGAAGACCATCCGGCTGTTAAGCAAGTATTTGTTGAGCGCTGGTGTTGAAATGTTTTTCTCTAGAGTAGGGAAAGGAACAGGGATAACATCATCTGCAGAGGCAAAATGGAGATCTCTTGAGAACCTGGGGCCCTTCTGGAACTGCTGTGGGAGGTAGGTCAGGCCGGGGACCTAAGCCAGTGCAGGAGCACTGCTAACTCTTCTTTATAAAAACCAGCTTGTCACGATTAGAGAATGCCTATGGAAACAATAATAATAGTTAACAGCCCTTTTGCTATTAACTGATTTAATCTTTGTTAAATATTATTATCCTGAGCAATGAGGTACAAAAAGGTCAAGTTAAATAACCTGACCAAGTTCATTCTGCTAGTCAAGAGACAGAGCCAAGATACGAACCCAGGCAAGCTGGCCCAGAATCTGCCCAGAAACACCTTGATATGCCTGAGATAGGTAAGTAAGATCATTCAGTTATATATATAGATATAGATATAGATATATAGATAGATATAGATTTTTTAATATTTTATTAATTTTTATTTTATGTGTATGAGTG